GGGGGGGAGACAGAGGTCGTGGGGAGGGGGTGATGGAGGGGGAAAGGGGGACTGGGGGTGAGGGGGTACAGTGTGGGGGTGTAAGGGGGGTGGGTGTGAGGAGATCTCGGGGGGTGAGGGGGTGGGGTCTCGGGGGGGGTCTCGGGTGGGGGGGTGTGGGGTGAGGGCTGTGATGGGGGTCTCGGGGGGGTGTGGGGGGGTGTGGGGTGAGGGCTGTGATGGGGTCTCGGGGTGTGGGGGATGTGGGGGTCTGGGGTGAGAGCTGTGATGGGGGTCTCGGGGTGTGGGGCTGTGATGGGGGTCTCGGGGTGTGGGGGTGTGGGCTGTGATGGGGGTCTCGGGTGTGGGGCTGTGATGGGGGTGTGGGGTGTGGGGCTGTGATGGGGGTCTCGGGGTGTGGGGCTGTGATGGGGGTCTCGGGGTGAGGGCTGTGATGGGGGTCTCGGGGTGAGGGCTGTGATGGGGGTCTCGGGTGTGGGGGTGAGGGCTGTGATGGGGGTCTCGGGGTGTGGGGGGGTCTCGGGGTGTGGGGGTGGGGCTGTGATGGGGGTCTCGGGGTGTGGGGTGTGAGGGGGTCTCGGGTGTGGGGGTGAGGGCTGTGATGGGGGTCTCGGGGTGTGGGGGTGAGGGCTGTGATGGGGGTCTCGGGGTGTGGGGGTGAGGGCTGTGATGGGGGTCTCGGGGTGTGGGGGTGAGGGCCTCGCTCTCCCCCCCCCTCCATACCCTCTCGCTCTCCCCCCCCACCCACCCCCTACACCGTCTCGCTCTTCCCCCCCCAATACTTTCTCGCTCTCCCCCCCCTCCATACCTCTCGCTCCTCCCACCCTCTCGCTCCTCCCACCCTCTCGCTCCTCCCACCCTCTCGCTCCTCCCGCCTTCTCGCTCCTCCCGCCTCTCGCTCTTCCCACCCCCACCCCCTCACTCTTCCCACCCCACACCCCCCCCCCCCCACCCTCTCGCTCGCGAGGTGAACGCTCTTAACCACTGAGCTACAGGGCTCCACGTCCACTTTTAATGTCCACTCATTCCCCAGTTCCAGCACACTGGGGTATTCCCTCCGCGAGAGAAGAGAGAATGGATTCCCTGCTTTGCGGAGGAAATAATTCTAATGCACTTGTGCGTGACATTTCGTGTCACGAGGAAAGCTATTCGTTCGCCTCTCCGGGGTGTGAATGGTCCCATTGTGGTCGTTGGATGTTTATGCTTTTTTTGGTATTGTCCTCCATGGAGTGGGTGGGTGGGGGTGGGGGGGGGGGGGAGAAATAAGCGGGCTTTTTTGTGGGGGAGCTGAGCTGGCTGCAAGGTGACGTGCGTGGCAGAGGAACGTCGGAATCGAGTCGCTGCTCTGTGGCGGCCGCTCTCAGGGGTCTTGATTCTTGAGCCACACGGATCCACAGTACTCCAAAGCACTGCTGATGGCCTATCAGCACAAGCATCTCACCGCCTTCAGCCTCTGGAACTGCATCCCACAGTCCCTCCGCCTCGACCCCTCCTTTGCCACATTCAAGACCCGTCTCGAGACCCTCTTCTTCGACTGTGCCTTCGGTCACCCTCCTGCCCTTACCCTCACTGCCCTCCCCCCCCCCCCCCCCTTCCCGATCCCAACCACTAGCTCCGGTGCGGATCCCTGACTGTCCAGAGCCTTGGGACGTCCTCCTGGCGTGAAAGGCGCAGTGCAAATGTGATTTGTTGTGGTGGTCGTTGTTCACTATTGCACTCATCAGTAGAACTTGGAGGGGCAGACCGAGGCGGAGCCTCTGCACCTAACACTTTACACAATTAGATAAGGAGGATGCATCGCTTCAGGGAGAGAGTGTGCGTTCCATGTAGTGTGGCATACGTAGAGCTCTTGTGTTGATTGGATGCTCTTATACATAGTGATGAGTTTCCTCATGTGTCAGATGCCTGACTGACCAAAGAAATGTGTGTTTCAGCTGGTTATTGTCATTAAACTCCCGCAATAATCCAATGCATACTCCAGGACCACAAGCCTTGGTTCTTGCCAATGTATTCCTAATATTTAATTTACTTAGATCAGCACTGTGTATCCCTCTAGTCATCCCTTCTGTAGTATTTCTAATCGCAAATTAGATGCCATATTTACCATTTTCAGACGGACACTGCCCTTTGATCTCTGATTCGAAACTGAATTGCCATTGCAGTGGAAGCCTTCATGAATCCCGAAGAAGACCATGTCTATGATCCTGTTTGCCTACGTGGTGCGGGTGGGGGATGGGCTGCCACTCTCAGCTTCCACAGACTCCTTACACAGCAAGGACCTGCAGGAATGTAAAAGGTACTTGAAGATTTTGTCCAAAATTCTCGGAGCTTACCCAGGTCGGGGCACTGTGAAGAGCAATCAACTTCAGATACAGTGAGTATGTCAAAGCACACACCACACATACTGCATTGAATGCCATGAATTGTCTTTACTGGAAATTCACAATTGGGAATTAACGGCTTTAGATTTAATTCCGTTGTGAATAACACCCCTTGGAAGTCTCGGATCATAAAGTGCTGTTGAACTCAACCGTTGACAAAGTTGAGCAGATGCTGCCTACAATGTATGCATTGTACATCACAGAAGCTAACGTGTGTGTGTTTTTTCTCTCTCTCTGTTACTAACTCTCTAAACACCTTTTTTTCCAGTTTTAATTCTTTACAGGGTGTGGCCTATATGACTATCTGCTGTAGTTTCTATCCCACTACTTTGGCGTTTTGCTTCCTGGAGGAACTTGGAGTGGAGTTTGTGTCTTCTTATGACCACACTAAAGTCCACATGGTCTCCAGACCCTACGCCTTTCTTGAATTTGGTTAGTTTCCTACCTTTTCGCATCTTAATTCTTAGTTTTCCCCCCCAACCCGCGCCCAATTAACCTTTGTGCTTGTGGTGGACAGTGCAATATCATCCCTGGAAATTTGTGCTTGCAAATTGGCTGCAAACAGATTAACTTCAATCTGATTGAAGCAAAGTCAATAGATACTGTTAGAAGGGAATTAGCTAGGTGTGAACAAACAGGAATTTAATGGATGTTTGGGGGAGTGTCTTTATTTAACCAACAGTAAGTAAGAACCTGGTTTTTAGACGATTGGTGGATCACTTTTCCGATTAATTTGGTCACTCAATTCACGGCTGTCTGTGGGACACCGCTACCGTTTTTCACCCACAAAATACACAGTCATTCCACTTTACAATATATTCTGTGAAGCGCTTTGAGACGTCTTAACGATGTGATTGAATCTACGTCCCCCGGTTAGTGACCTTCCAGCCAGTGGAAACAGTTTCTCCTTATCTACTCTTAACAAAACCCCTGATAATTTTGAATCAGAGACTGAATGTTGGGGTGGGCTGCAAGTCTATCCACTACATCATTGGGGCTGTCGTACTTCACGGTCTTACTCTTAATCCCCTTGTCCTAATATTTGAGATCATGAAGAATTTTAGAAAATCCTTAAATTCCATTATTTGGAAGCCTTTTCTGCAGATCTCTCTGGTTACCGCGCAAGACTAAGGTGAAGACTTGACAAAAACCAACACTGTGTTTTGTAAACTAAAAAGTCAGCAACTAAACTTTAGACTATTAAAGTACCAAGACAGGGACTCCCAGGAAGGGACTTTTTCTATATGTTAATTGTCTTTCTTTTTTTTAACAACAGCGAATTACATTTGTATAGCGTTTCACGTCCGGAGGATGTCCCAAAGCGCTGGGGTTATATTGAGGGTTGTATGTTTAAAATGTGAAAGATTCCTTTAAAAGTTAACTTCAGTTGCTTGGCTAGTGACTCAGTGCTAACAGATAATTATCCTTGCATTTGATACAGCACCTTTCCTGTCAGGAGGACATAACCTTTAAGGATTTTACTGTGAAGTGGAGTGACAGTATTTGCTAGGCAAACAAAATGGAAATTCATAGATTTTAGCTCGTCTGCAGTGAGCGCAGCTGAGGCTTGATTTTCAGCTTCTTTAGACCTGCAAAAATATTTGAGTTTAGGTTTAGGGGCTGTAACGATGCCTCACATCTATTAATAATCCTAGACAGTATCAAAATCTCTTAGGCTTGAACAGCACTCTCCATCATATGATAGTGTTCGCGTGATCCATTATAACGTTATTTCTATTTCTTTTTAACCCACGTTCTCACTCAGTCGTCCCAGCTTTCAATGCTTACAGTGCTCCCATTTTTCCTTCCAGAGCCGCCTGCCCACACACTCGTCTGCGAGCTTCGCATCAGAAGTTATAATAAAAATAATAATCCTCGCGTTTGATACAGCGCCTTATCGCATCTTTGAGACGTCTCAAAGCGCTTCACAGAATAGACTGTAAAGTGAATTGACTGTAGGTTTTGTGGGCGAACCGCGACAGCCAATTGCGCACAGCAGCGTCCCCACAAACAGTCATGGATTGAAGTGACCAATTTTCTTATTTTTTTAAAGGCATTATTACCGCCGGAAAAGCGATCTGCCAATCGACTGACAACTGGGTTCCTACTTACTGCTAAATAATGTTTTATTGGATAAAAGTGTGTTTTATCAAGTTAACTCACTGTAATTTAGAATATTCTTCATGGCTATCGTAATATCATATTGTGCCAGTCTCTCTTGCTCGCTGTGTTGTCTGTGTATGTCTCTCTCTCTCTTTCTCCTTCTCTCTCTTGGTGACGGTCTCGCTTTGTCTTTCTCTCTCTGACTTTCTAATATTGCTTAACTCGTGAGTAGCTGTGCAAAAAAATTTCAGTTGGCACAATTACATACTTGTGCTTGGAGCAACTCGGGATTTGACCACAATTGACCTGTCCTGTGCGGGGAATCTCACTCCAGTAATCTTGTGTGCTTTCTTGGACATGTAGGCTAATGGATTTTGCGGTTAGAGCACTCACCTCACAAGCGAAAGGACCTGGGTTCGATTCCCAGGCAGGGTGAAACTTAGGCAAGTTTCGTCACTCCACATGCCTCTCTACGTAGCAGTAGGTAGGAACCCTCTTAGTCGATTAGCGGATAATAATTCCTTCAATATAAATAAAAATAATTTGGTCACTCAATTATTATTATTTTTGAGGGGAGTTATTAGCCCGGAAAGGGTTTAATGCCTTCCGACTTTCGATTTAAAAATTCTTATCAATTTTCTGTTCATTTCCAGATAGCGTGATCCAGAAGATAAAATGGCATTATAACTATTCGAACCGCCCTTCGTTAAAGATCAGCGTGGGAAACATCCAACAAGAGCTGAAAGTGAACCCTCCCAGACAGGTGAATGTGGAGGATATAGTAGTTACCAATGGGACGTTAAATGGACAACTCCATTTTTACTCGGGCTCCGGTAAGGTTATGTTAAGCGTTAAAAGTGCAGTTCCTTATAAATGCTTTGATGAGTTTTTAACAGTCTTTTAAGCGCTCTAAAAGCTACTGTACGTGGAGGGCGCTACTTAAGTGCACGTTGCTGTGTAACAAGTCGTTTTTGTGGTCGTTCTTGTCTAAGAAGCCGAGGTTTAATGCAACAAAGCCAACAACAACTCAAGTTTCTATAGCGCCCTTCGCGCTGGGTAGCGACCCAAGGGCAGTTCTCAGTCAGCTGGTTACATTTTCTGGACGAGATCCAGAGCCGGTATTGCGGGTGTTCGTTCCTGACTCTTCACGTATCGGATTCAGGTCGCAGTCTTTTTTTTAAAGTGAAGAATGAATCACAAATGGCAAACTGGATTGAGCGCCTGAAAGACAACATCAATGCATTTGTGGGCATTGTAAGACTTTTAGTATGTTGTGACATAGATTTATATATCTGCGTAAATTTTATATATTGTGGGTCTTATACGGCTGTACAATTACACTTGAATATTACTATTACACTTTCACATCAAAATCTCAAAATGTCTGTCTAGGTTTGGGTGGGGATTAGAGGTTAGAGGTGAAGTCCACAAATCTTTATCGAAAATGTTTAATTCCTGACTTGACTAAACAGCGCGCCAAGGTGAAGTGTTTGACAACGGGATATTAGACTTGAGCTGAGACTCTGTTCTCAGCCCATTGGGTCTGCTAATGACTGACCAGTGACGATCCCACAAAACTACCCCGTCTCGCCCACAAAACATACAGTCACTACACTCGACAGTGCCTCCTGCGAAGCGCTTTGAGACGTCTCGAAGACGTGATAAGGCGCTGTGTCAAATGCAAGGATTATTAGTAGTATTATTTACCCTGGCTCATGGCAGGACTGGGTGGGGGTGGGGGGGGAGCGTGTGTTGCCCGCATGCATTCAGGGTTAGTGTATATTCCATTCCAGAGTCGTGGAATTCCCTGTGTAGGTGGCGTACGCTTGTGGAACTCTGGCTCGGATACTCTGAAGCACAGTGATGGGATGAATAAAATTGTTCAAAGCCTGTGCTCTAAAACCTTTCTTTCTTTCTTGGTCACCTTTCCCCCCCCCCCCCCGCCCCTCCACTTTTTTTTTTAATCTCCCCACCCCCACCTCCCCTTCCACCGCAACCTTCCTCATCTCCCCCACCACACCCGTTTGGATCCGGTTTACGATGTAGCTCTCGCGGTGCCTGAAAAATAAAAATCTGTTTGAAGCCACCGTTCATCCGGCAATCACTGCCTTTTGTACAAAGATTACGAAAGGATTGACAAACGCTCAAGTGCACAAGGCAGTCTGTCGTGACGAGAAGGGAAGAGATTGTAACAGGAATATCTTGTCTTGGATTACCTGCAGCTCCCAGGCACAGGCTGGAACCAGTAAGTGCAGTTGGCATCCTCTCCATTGTACTCAACATCATGTGTGGTGCTCTCAACCTGATCCGCGGAGTACACCTCATAGAACACCTCTCTCAGGTAAGACAATGCCGCGGGTTATGTTGAATAGCTGACGGCAGCACTGATGAAGTTGTTTGATTCTCCTCCCGCCTTTGCGTGTGTGGGGGTGTGTGTGCGTGTTTTTTAAAAAAAAGTTTCATCCGTTTCAATGAATTTGGCTTTGCAAAAACACCCTCCCTAATAATAATAATAATAATCCTTGCATTTGATATAGCGCCTTTTATTGAGATGTCTCAAAGCGCTTCGCAGAATATATTGTAAAGTGAATTGACTGTATAATTTTGAGGACGAGACACGGCAGCCAATTGCGCACCGCATTTACCTACAAAACACACAGTCACTACACTTTTAAAGTACATCCTTATGAAGCACTTTGAGACGTCCTCCTCTTGACACGAAAGGCAATATATCAAATGGAAGTTTTTTATAAAAAATATTGTCGGTTCGGTTTATTATTTGCCACCCGTCCCTCACCCTCGAATATGCTTTCGGCCGTAAATTGTGTAGCTGTTGCCGATTAATCATTCAAACACAAAATCACGGAGCAACTTGACCAGCTTTTACTTTACAGTCTTTTTTTCACATTTCTTTTATCACCGTTTTTGCACCAGGATGACGATGACCGAAAGGGAAATATTATTGCGTTTCTCACAGCGTTTCTTACCTGTTTGATTCAGGTAAGTCTTGTTTTTTTTTTTTTAACCGACGCCGCAACACGTTGAGCCACGTTGATGTGATTAAAATTGTGCTGACCTGTAGCGTAGTGGTTAGCGTGCGTGCCTCGCAAGCAAGAGGTCCCAGGTTCGATTCCTGGGCCGGATGAAACTCCATCCCGGTCAAACCCGGTTGTTAGTCGATTGCCGGGACGCTTAACACAGAGTAGTAATCCCTCCCAAACAATATAATAATAATTTTGTCTCTCAATCCACGGGTTGGGGGCACTGCTTTGCGCAATTTGACAGGTGCGCTTGCCTACAAAAATACAGTCACTCCGCTTTACAGTCTCCCCTGAGGTGAAGCGCTTTTGAGATGTCCTCCTGAGGTGAAAAGGCGCTGCATCAGACGCAAGTTGTGTTGTATTAGAACCAAGACGTCCGTGTCCCCGAGGGTGAGCAGTGTGGTTTGGCGTTGAGTTGAGTCTTCACGCTGGGATCTGTTCCTTTCGCAGTGCTACCTGTTCCTGTTCTACATTTCTGCCAGGACGGCGAAGGCGTTGACGGCCTTTGTGATCGTCTGCCTCTGCAACCTTTATCTGTTCGGCCACCGGAACGCCTGGCAAGTGCTCTTCCACATAGGGGTGGCGTCCCTGTCCAGCCACCAGACGCTGTCGCGGAAACTTTACGAACGGCCGCCCGAGCTCGGAGTCTGACACCCAGAGGCCAGAACGTCGTCACGGCTGAGCTTTCTCGGATCTGCCTTCACTACCTTTATGAAGTTGCCGTTAGTACTTTACGGGGAGACTTAAAAGAAAAAATCAAGCCCTATAACCCATTGAAGGGGAAAGGGATTGAAATATCCCTCTTCCCACTTAAAAAAACAAGCTAGTCCCCTTATTAATAGAAGGGTGGGAGTACTCGTTGCGGAAGGAGAGGACGTTTGAACTTATTTATTCGTTGTAAATCTGTTTTTTTTTTACCTTTTCCAAACGCTCAGCGGTATCTCTTCAGAAGTCCGAGGGTATAGGAGACAGTGAGGTGTATAAACTTGCTGAGTAGTGGAGGGGAGCTATGAGGGTTTCTTTGTAAATCGGGTCATTTCAGTACTGGATTTTTTTTTAAAAAGAAAACCTGGCTCTTTGTATGTAGAAGTATGCTAAACCCTCTCCTCTCACCTTAAAGGAATCTTAAATCCCATCCAGCCCATGGGAGATGGTGGTGGAGGTCAGGAGCGTGATGAGTTTTGGGTGGGGGGTGGGTTTGGGGGTGGGGGGGCCACAGTCTCGACCCAAATTACAGCTTTTAAAACTGCCCGCGCACATGCCAGCGTTAATCAAACTGCACGTCAGTCTCTGTCGGAAGGACCACAAGGGTTGACTTGATGTGATCAGAAGGGACAGCTCGTGTGGGTGTGGGTGTGTGTGGGAGCCAGCAACAGCGAGCACTGGTTCGAGAGGCTGAATGGTCGCTCCCTGCACTAGACTTTTCTCTGAAAGACTTTCTCTGGGGGCGTTGGAAGTGTGAGGGGGGCCTGCGGGTGCTGCTCTGCCGAGATCGCGATTAACGCTGTCGGAGCCACGACGACGACAACTCACACTCGCAAAGCCCCTTTCGAGTCGGGAGGGCGTCCCAAGGGTAGGAGGGCGACCGAAGGCGCGCTCGAGAAGGAGGGTCTTGAGGCATGCATTGTAGGGAGGGAGGGAGCGAGGCGAATAGACTGTGGGATGGAGTCCCAGAGGGTGGGGGCAGGGAGGCTGAAGGCCCACCTGCTGACGGTGGAGGGGCAGTGCGGAGCCCGACAATTATTAGGAGTTAGCAGGTTACCGAGGTAGGGAGGAGCAAGGCCGTGGAGGGCTTTGAAGGCGAGGACAGGGATAGCGAGCTCCAGGATCTTTTCTCTGTGTCTCAGTGCGCTCGCTGTAGCTGCCCTGATGCACAATTTTTGTTAAAACAAAATGGGGTTCAGTTCCCCCCCCCCCCCACCCAAAAAACCCCCTCATCTTTATGATGGGAACCGAATGACTTTGCGAGACGAGTCATTTTTTTTTAACCTGTTGAATCTGCAATCGTACTCGTGACTTTTTAAAGTGTCTTTTGCTACCATTTAAATGTAAGACCGATATTGGTCGGTCAGTGGATGAAATCCTGTTGATCAGTGATTCATACGCAGCACAGAGGGAGACCATTCAGCCCATCGCGTCTGTGCCGGTTCTTTGAAAGGAGCTTCCTAATCAATCCCACTCCCCCGCGCTCTCCCCCGTAGCCCCGCACACCTGTCCTCCCCAAATAATTATCGACTTCTCTCTTTAAAAGTCGTTAGCAAATCGATTGATTGATGAATTTAACTGATCGGACTGAATTGCTGCGGGAACGTGGAGTGAGAGCGTAGAACGCTTTACTGTGGGAATGCTCCCTTTTTTCCAACATCGATGCTATATTCACTAAAGCTGCACTACCCCATTGGTACTCGTCTCGTGCGCATTGTTTGCTGCTACGAGGGGAGGATTAAGATGGCAGAATTTGTCGGTCCTACCTACGCTATGTAGTGCTGCAATACAAAGGGAATTGAAAAAACGCGGGAACTTGATAGGGGGAAAGGACGGAAAATACATTTTAGTTGTTCACTACAGCGGGGGGGGGTGGGGGAGTCAAGTCAGCGTAAGGCAAAGGGGCTCTGTGTTATATAAACGTGACAGCTGGAGTATTTAACCGGGTAAAGCTGCATCGCTTGTCGCTGTGGAATAATGTTGGGGGTGAGGGGAGGTTGGGGGGGGGGGGTGTGAGAGCAATACATTTTTTACACCAGCTCATCATTCTGTACGCCAAAAATGTTATCGCACTAATAATAATAATACCAAGTCATGTTCTTGACCTGTTTATAAGCGCAAAGCTTTAAGCAGCTTCACCTGCTCGGGCAGCGAGTGGAGCTGTTTGGAGCGATTGGCTGATTACGCAGCAGGAATTTGGATAGATTTTTTTTTGGGGTGGGGCGAGGGGTGGGGCGAGGGGTGGGGGGCAAAGGTTCGGGTAATCAGAAGTTGCTATTTTATTTTACGACAGTGAAAGAATCTATTGTAAAAGATTTTTTTTTTTAACGACATCAATTCCAGGAAGAGAGATGGGAGATCTAAAATCGTGACGTTAAAATTGCGTCTGAAGGTTATTTATGCAACCGGACAAATGTCATCACCTTTGAAGAACAAATGAGATAGATTTCTGGAAGGAAATAATATCTCGGGGTGGGGGTGCGGGGGTGGGAGGGGGATACCGTGTACAGTTTGGGGCACGACATATTCGAGCGACTGCCAGGACGGTTGGAAGGTGAACTGTATGGACTTTGTTCTTCTTTTCCTCTGAGCAAATTCTTGAATTCTTACGTCGCTGTTGTTTACGAATGTTCCCCCCCCCTCACCCCCCCCACCCCCGGGGTTGTTTTTTTTCATTATTGCACTGCCCTACAAGGCGCGTTGAGAATTTTATACAGGTCTGTTCTTGTTGTCGCATGTCGGACGTGAGTTTCAAGGGGGGGGGAATGACTGAGGAAAATAAACGCCGATTCTGTCACTTTTATTTCCGGAACGCTGTGTTTAGCTCTGTTCCCGGCGTACGCGCATTACTAAACAAGTTGGGAAAACATTCCTTGTTCCACACCGACGCGCACACACACACACACCCACACGCCTCTGTTCAGCCAACAGTAAGTTAATTGTTAATCGATGGGTGGATCGCTTTACGGGGTGGGCGGGGGGGTAATAATCCCTCCCCCAAAAATAAAAACAATAGATAATAATTGGTCACTCAATCCACAACTGTTTGCGGGGACCCCCCCCCCCCCCCCCCGCTACAGTATATCATGCGAAGCGCTTTGAGACGTCTCGACCACGTGTTCAGGCGTTATATCAAATGTGGGGATTATGATTAAGATTCCCACTGTGTCATTTTGAAGAGCTCTGACCTGTGTACAGGACGATAAGATCATGCTCTCTTCCTGATATCTCTCCCCCCCCCCCCCCCACCCCCCACAAAACAACAAAGCCAGTCTGGGAGGTTGATGGAATAGATTAGCCGTACATTTGCCTACATCGTACACCTAGTCGTTATCGCTCGAAGCAATTCATTTAATTCAAAGGACTTTTGACCTGAGGAGCTGTGATGTGAAATGCAAAGTGAGGGAGTTTGTAATATAAAGTTTCTCTCTTTTCCTTTTGCCGCGCGCGTAGCAATAGTGATGTTTTTATAAAGTATTCCATGGGATTGTAGGGGAGAAGGTAACAAACGATGCCTGGGGTTGATGATGGTGGGGTTTGGGGTCGGGGGTGGTAGGCAAAGGGCAGGAAATCCTATTAAAACCAGGGCAGAAAATTTATAAGTGGGGAGAAGGGAAGGAAAGGCAGGAAATTAAATCGCAAAGTGGCGATATGATATGGTCGAGGTATTCACAGTCATGAAAAGAATTGATGGGTTGACGTTAAGCCCAGGTCCCAATAGACTGGCCAGGCGGATGTTGAAGGTCCCATGGCACTATTTGAAAGAGAGTTTCTCTCTCTCTCTCGGTGTCCTGGCCAACAATCCCCCAGCTAAAATTGATCTCTCTTCCCCCCCCTCCCCCACCACCACCCCAAGGCTGTTTGCGGGACCTTGCCTGCAAATACACAAGTCACTGCACTTCACGGCAAGTCCCGCGAAGCACTTTGAGACGTCCTTCTGACGGGATCAGGCGCTATAGCAAATGCAAGGTGGTTAGAACTGAGACAATCTGCACCTGAAGGCTTTGGAGGAGTGTGTGGGGGGGGGGGGGGTCATGTTCCAGGCTGACACTCCCAACGCAGTGCTGGGGAGGAGATGTACAATGTTGGAAGAGCTGTCATTTGGATGGGACCTTAAGCCAAAGTCCGAGAGATCCTGGGCACTAATTTGACAAGAGAAGGGAGTTTCTCCCTGGGTAAAGTTGGCCGCTCACTTCATGTCTGTCTGTGGGACGCTGCCGTCTTTGCCCACGAGAAACATAATAATGATCCTTGCCTTGGATCCAGCGCCCTATCACGTGGTCGAGACGTCTCGAAAGAGCTTCACAAAATATACTGTAAACCAAATCGACCATCTTGTGGGCGAAACGCGGCAGCCGATTGCGCACAGCAGCGTCCCCACAAACAGCCGCGGATTGAAGCGACCAATTTATATCTTTTTTAAAGGAATTATTATCCCCGGAATAGCGATCCGCCAATGGACTAACAACCGGGTTCCTACTGACTGCCGGTAAACAGAGGCGCGTGTGTATGTGTGTGTGTGGAGTAAGGAAACTTGCCCAATGTCTCGCCCTGACCTGCCCGGGAATCAAACCCGGGGTCCTCTCGCTCGCGAGGCGAGAGCTCTAACCCCTGAACTCCAGGGACTCCACATACAACATACGCACAGTCGTACTGTTCTCGCTGGGAAAACTTGCCGGACACTGCTTTCAATGGTAAGCAATGTGGCTTCAGTTGGTTAAGCTCCAGCAGTCGTTACCCTTTATAGTTAAATCCTGTGAAGGGCTTTGCGACATATGTGAGATTCTTACATTATTCTCCTTTCTGAGTGCAAGTTGGGAAAGTGCTCAGAACGGAACTTCACACACTGTGGATTACCCCAGGAGGGAAGCGAGGTACAAGTCGCAATTCACACCTGCGAGGATAGGCGAGAGGCAGAGAATTCTCACCCGGGTTTGGGGGGCGAGACTCCAGCGCGGTGCTGGGTTTCCGACTGTGTATCAGACACCCGGCGAACAGTCCTGTTTTAGGAAAAGAACACGGAAACGCGCAGAGACGCTTACAATTTGGTCGCACAATCCAGGACTGTTGGTGGGGGACGCTGCTGTGCGCAATCTGTGCTGTGCCCCGTTTGGCCACACGAGATACCCAGTCGATCGGCGTCACGATATATTCGGTGAAGCGCTTTGAGACGTCTCTCGACAACGTGACGAGGCGATATATCCAATGCGAGGATTATTATTGGTATTATTGGCGGCAGGGGGTGGCGTAGGGGAACCGGAGGCATGATTCCCTCTCCCTAACTCTGGGAATGTCTCCCTCTGGCTCAGCTGAGCCAACATCGCACACCAAGACTTGAATCAGCGAACATCCACCGCGCCGTTGAGGCTGACCCCGGTTACGCCACTCGCAATAATTATAACATTCGATGCAGGGCCTCGTCACGTCTGCGAGGCGTCTCAAAGCGCTTAAAGTGGAGTGA